TTTCTCATGATGTACTCTGCATATAAGTTAAAGAAGCAGGGTGACAATATACAGCCTTGACATACTCCTTTTCCTATTTGGAACCAGTCTGTTGTTCCATGTCCAGTTCTGACTGTTGCTTCCTATATACAGGTGTCTCAAGAGGAAGGTCAGGTGGTCTGGTAGTCCCATCTCTTGAAGAATTTTCCACAGTTTATTGTGATCCACACAGTCAAAGATTTGGCATGGTCAATATGATTGTTTATTTATATTTTATTTATATTAATATTTTTGCTAGAGGTAAATAGACGATGAAATAAAAACAAAGACCAATAAAGCCAGGTAAGAGCACAATTCATAGAACATGAAAATAATAACAAAATGAGAACTCTTAATAGAAGTTGCTGCACCTTGGCACCAAATGTATTTGACTTTATAGGCAACTAAGTTAAAATGATATTTTGTAAGTTTCATGGCTTCCATTTCTGAATAAAACAAATCTATTCCTCAAAGCATAGTTACACCCCTTTTGGTATTAAGATATAGCATAAATTTAGTAGCAGATTTTTTTTTTTTCAGGAAAAAGTAAATTCATTCAATAGTCCTAAAGTTTACCCTATCATGCAGCACAAAAAAGTAGTAAGTCTTTTGTTTCTCTAAGTAAACTTTAATCAACTTTGAAAACTTCACCCAGGGCTTACAGGAAATTGAATTTAGTCACTCTTGATATCCTTTCCATTCTTTTCAGAATAGTGTAAACGTCATGAGTCTAATGTAGTTAATGTAGTCTCATGTAGCTCAGCCTTCGAGGGAGACACCGTGGTCTGCGTTCCTGGTCCCTAATGACAGGCTGTGCTTTGAGCCCACCTTGGACGGCCCAGCGGTAAACGGTCCATGCCTGGCAATGCAGGAGACACGGGAGACCTGGGTTCAGTCCGTGGGTTGAGAAGATCTCGTGGTGTAGGGAATGGCAACCCACTCTAGTATTCTTGCCTGGAAAGTTCCATTGACAGTGGAGCCTGGTGGGGTCAAAAAGAGTCAGACGTGGCTGTGCAATTAAAGCGCACACAGATGCATCCTGGCTGGCTCCATCACCTGTGAGACACCATGTCTGCGGCCCGCTCTCCCCAGGACACCACTCGTCACTCTCTCTGACGTGGGTCACCCCATTCGGCACTGTGGGGGAGATAGCACACGTCTTTTCTCACAGAGCATATAAAATGATTTCACTCATGCAATTTTAGAGAAGCTCTTCAAATACCCCACTGTGCTTTCAGTTTCCACCAACCGTGTGGAAATTATTCTCTGTATATTCTCTGGATTAATGATGAATATTTTCCCATTAAAACTCCACTATAAACACAATAGTTGAAAGCTGAAAAAAAATAGATGCTAGTAACTTCCATTTTATTCTTACTAATTTACTTTGTTAGGAGTACATTTTTTACAGGGCCAAGTCTTAAGAAAAGCCAGAGTTAGGCTTTGTTGAGTTTTATTGTTGCTATATTAGATTTGGTAATATACTATATTGCTCTGTGTTCAATTTAAGCTATTAAGTTTTAATTGTCAAAAACAGATAAAATGGAGAACTAAACTTTTCTTTCTCCAAAATTAGGGAATTCAAATATGGTTTAAAATGTATTCATTTGTCTTATGTTTTTATTCTCTTTCTGTCTCTTCAATGTAATATAATATACATAACACCATTTCAACCCTTTGAATACAGTTCAATGGTTTTAACTACACTCACGTTGTTTTGTAACTATCACCACTTTTCATCTCTGGAAGGTTTTCATCATCCCAAACTGAAATTCTGCATCCATAAAATAAAAACTCCCGACTCTACTCACCCTGAGCTCCAGACAATCACTATCCTACCTTCTGCCTCTGTAAATGTAAGATGGAATTTGGCTATTCTAACTATCTCTAGGTGTCTCTTATAAGTGGAATCATATTTGTCCTTCATGTGTAGCTCATTTTACTTAGCATAATGTCTTCAAGTTTCACCCATGTAGTATATAACAGATCCTCATTCCCTCTTACAGGACTTTTCTTTATCTGGATACCATGAGCATGTTTAACAACAAACCTCAGAAAGGAACTGGAAATAATGAGCTTAGTGGACAGTAAGTTAAAGCATATCTTTTGTCATCAGAGAGAAAATGAGAGACAGAGAGAAAGAGAGAGGAAAAAAACAAAGAAAAAGAAATTTGGGAGGGCTAAAAGATAAAATGCAGAAGCTGATATTACAGAACTTGAATATTTCCCATTGCACTGGAAAATTAATTTCAACACTTTTCAGCACCTCTTCATTCCGGGTTTACATTAGACACAGGGATTTTTAAATTTATTGCTTGGTTTGAAAGTGGGCAAAAAGTTTGTAACATAGCCTCCCTAGCTAAACTCCTTTTCTTAAATTTTATAAAAACCAGGTTTTTCTAGTAAGGATATAGTCATGGGAATCTTGGAAGAAGATGTTATTGTTATAAAATGATGCAACAAGCAGTGAGGACAAAGATTGCCAAGTTAAACACAAAGGGTAAAGTCCATTTGCATATCCTCGCTTCTCCTCCTGCCCCCAATCCCTCCCAGCATCAGGGTCTTTTCCAATGAGTCAACTCTTCGCATGAGGTGGCCAAAGTACTGGAGTTTCAGTTTCAGCATCAGTCCTTCCAATGAACCTAGAGACATCTATATATACCTATATATCTGTTTGTGTCAATAAAAATAAACATGTTCTTTAAAAGATGTTTGCAAATTCTTTGCACATCTTTCTTACATGCACAAACTTATTATTTGAAAAATTATTGGATTTGCAAACATTTTTCCTATTGCAGAGGTTGATTTTTCATTTTGTTGATAGTTTCTTTTCTGTGAAGAAGTTTTCTAATTGGTATTTCTGGTTTATTTTTGCTTTTGTTGTCTTGGCTTTTGGTAGAAAATCCAAAACAAGTATTGCCAAAACCAGTGTCAAGAGGAGCTTATCCTATGTTTTCTTCTAGAAGTCCTATGGGTTCAGGTC